GGTGGGTAGGTCAGGAGGCGGCAAATACACCTGCCCCTAGAGAGCACCCCATCTGGCTGGAGAGAACCTCCTAGGCATGAAGGAGAAAAAGCCTCAGAAGGCCGGCCAAGTATGGAGTGTGGACTCAGGGAGCCCTGGCAGGGGGCGGGTGTGGGGAGCATCTGGGTGGGGGTCCTAGAGGAGCTGTGGCTTAGATTAGTCCTTTAAGCTGGTTCCTGCCCCATGGGGACTCACATCTAGCTGGGGACCATCAAGGGACACACAGCATGAGCCAGCGAACACACATGGTGAGAGGGGACAGGCTAGGAGAGGGTCGCCAGAGCTTGGGGGATCCAGCACCGGTTCTGAACAGTCTGAACTCTGTAACCTGGCTATTTGCCTGGGAAACGGCGGTCCAGGGAAGGAAGTCGGGTGGGAACCAGGGACCGAGGAGGTCAGCAGCTCAGAGGGCGGCTGTGGAGTCAGAGGAGTCTTTGGAAGGAGGAAGGCGGAAGGTGGGAGGGGAGAGGAAAGGCAGGGAAGAGCAGGGACTCCAGCGCGAGCTCTTTGCTCCAGGACTGGGCTGTCGGGCCTTGCCCTTCCCAGAGAACCGTGGCCGTTGGTTCTGGCCAGGAGAGCCACACAGCCCACGTCGGTGCCTTACAGCCTTCACTTTTGAGCTCACGTTAGTTTCCATCAGAACCTCAGCTCTTACACAACTCTGACAAATGCAGCTGTGTCCTTTGCATGTCCTCCGTGGGGCGGAAAGCACTGGAATGACCACACTCTGACAGGTTAAGTCACATGTGCCATGCTATGCTTAAGATGGCAGGAAATAGGTGAAGTATCAGAGAGATTTCCATTTCAACGAGTTAAAATTAAGCATTTGGGTCGTTTAAAAAGAGAAAAGTAAATCTTCAGCTATCTGGAAATTTCAGAAATCTTCAGAGTTTCTGGGGCATTGAGATTTATGACAGCTAGGTAAAGAGAGGAGAAAGCACAGAGTGGAGGCAGATAGGCTGGGTCTATATCCTGGCTCCACCTCCTACTAGCTGTGTGACTTTTAGTAGGTGACTTAACCTCTCTGGGCCTCAGTTTTCTCATCTGTGAAATGGGGAGGACAAGCTATAGAAGTGGCAGGGCTGTTACTGTAACGAAATGAGGCTCATGGCTAGTCATGGAGCCTGGCTGTGGAGCCCGTCCTGTGCACCTAGCCCACAGAGGAGGCAGGGTAAATCTTGATTTCTGCCTTTGAGACCAGGGCTGAGTTTGAGAAGGTGGGGCCATTGGGAAGCAGACAGAAAGGAGTAGCTGCAGGCCAGGGAGGCGGCCAGGCTGAGCTCCCACCCCTGGGTGCAGGAGGTGAGATGAAGCTTCCCACTCACGGCACCAGCACCACTGGCGTGCCTGCCCCAGGACAATCCCCTCTGCCCTCCCCTGAGCAGGGGCTGGGCAGGAGGGAGGCCCGCAGCCCCTCCCAGGTCTCCCCACCTCTGCTTCCAGTGAACCGTCCCACAGCTGGGGGTAGTTAGCATGTGTGCCTGCGGTCCAAATCCCTTCAGTCAGACAGGCCCTGAACAGGCCTAGAGCTTGAAGGGCTGAGGCCCTCCATCTGCTCCCTGCCCTGCCCCCACCTCACACTGTGCACCACCCCATGGGTCTATCTCTGAACGCCTTCTCACACCTTCTCTCCATCTGTGGGCAGCTTCATCCCCACCGTCACGTCCGGTTCGCTACATCAGATCCTGTGTGGTCAGTCGCCACTGCAGCCTCTCCTCTGGTCTAGGGTCTCCCACGACCGTCCCCATTCTCCCTGAATAGGGTAACCCGGATGAGCGACCCTGGGGAGCAGGGCATGGGAGGGGTGAGATGTGAACCCAGATGCCTACGGAGCCATGCTGTGTACAAGGGAGGGCCCACGGCGCTGGGGGTGGGGTTGTTGGGGAAGGCTTCAGGGGCACACAGAGGTAGGGACACAGGCATGCCTGGGGGTGGGTGGGGGGAGGGGGCACAGCAGGAACAAAGGCATAGGTGTTGCAAAGGGTGAGATGAGCCTGGGAGTGGGGGTGATAGGCTGAGGGTGGGTGGAAGCCAGACCACAGCTGTGTTCAGTGTTGCATGAGGCACGGATGGAAAAGAAAGCTGTGTTCCTCCAGCCCTGGCCTCTTCACATCATGGCCGCTTCCCCCTGTGCAATGCCCTGGAAGTACCAGGGCACACTGGTTGCTGGGGCGGACCTTCCTTCCAGTCCTTGTCTTTGAGTTGAGCCTGAAGCCAGCAGATGCCTGAATCCCCAGAGGCTGTCTGTGCCCCAGACAGGCCACGGTTCCCTCAGGGTTGGCCCCATCCCAGGCTTTGCCAGGGGTGCCGTGTGGTCAGGGGTAGGCACTTTCTGTCTCTGGAGCTCCATTTCGCCATTTTGCAGAAGGCTGGGCTGGACCAGATTGGTCTCCAAGTCCATCTGGGTGCTCTAGAACCTGTGAATGAGGGAATACAGTGCGAGCTCGGGGCTGCTGGAGTAGGAAAGTGTAGGCTCCTTGTTGAGTGGTGAGGGGCAGGGGACTGGTGGGGCTCAGCCACACGCCATGCTGATGGAACTCAATCCACGGGCCTTCCCTCGAAGGCTCCTTGTCTTTTAACGACAACATAACATCCACATAAAGCAGCTTGCAGGACTTGAACTTGGAACATGGGCCCCAAGTTCAAGGCAGGTGTCAGCATTGAGAGGAGAGGGAAGCCCTGAAGATTGGGGGGGTGCAGGGGGCTGGTGGGGCTCAGCCACACGCCATGCTGATGGAACTCAATCCACGGGCCTTCCCTCGAAGGCTCCTTGTCTTTTAACGACAACATAACATCCACATAAAGCAGCTTGCAGGACTTGAACTTGACTTG